TGATCCAGTCTGAGATTGTTTGCAATCCTGGCCCGTGGGTATCTGCTGCAGCTTGGGGTGCTGAGGCAGGATCCGCACCAGGGATGCACCAAATTCCTCCCAGTCCTGCAAAATCGGGGCGTGCCGAGGTGCGGTGCAGTAAGAAAACGGTTGAAAAAGCAAAACAGGAGGGAGATGAAGAAAAGCACACATCTCTTAACGGAAGGGGTTGAAAGGGCTGAAGAGTTCAGCGCTATTGCTTTCACTTGCAAAGTTGACGGGACAATTAAAACGGACGTAGAATAGGAATAAGGAAAGTGGAGGTGAAAGGCTATTTGGTTTGAGAACATTCGGTTAGTAGGGCCTGAATTTATCTCGGTTTATTTGCTTTGGCTAATGACTTAAGGAAGTTTTAAACTATTGGGTTGTAATGGAGGACTGAAACATCCCTGGAGGACTGGAGGAGATTAACAGTGAGCCCATTTATATAAAGCAGGACTTACAGGCTAGGTGATGGAGTTTAGATTCCTGAAAACTACTGGGACAACCTATTAAACATGTAATTCCTACGGACCTGCAATACTAGTAGGATGATTAATGAATTCATATGGACTGTTCATTAGAAAAAAATGGTTTTAAATTAAACGAAAAAGCTTTGTTGGGTTGCTGACCCAGAAAAGAGGAAGACTAAGATCGTTTGGCTTTAGTAATATTATTGACGTTTCAATGTTGTGTCCAAGCAAAAGATCCTGTGGAAAACCTTGCCCGGCTTGAGAAGGGGTTACAAGAGGAGACCGTGTCTTTCTTCTAGCGATTTCTGAAAAACAGAACTGTTTAGTGGGGATGCTGAGGGCCATTTTGTAGGGGACAGCATCCTGCTTAGGGTGTGGTTTGGAAGCCACACACCTTCATCTGGTCACTGCTCGCTGGGCATCGCTGCCAGGGACTGCATCGCCGCCGGGGACCGCATGGCCACCGGGCAGGCATGCCCTGGCAAGCAGGGACAGATCACGAGCCGACGCTCTGGTGTCCTTTGCTCGCCCGGCTGCTCCGTGCTGAGGTTACACACGGCACACGCGCAGCCACCAAGGCGTAGGTGACTCCAACGGGAGGAGCCCGCTGCCCAAACATACGCACGTGCCGCTGCTTATTCAGCGTGGAGAAGGGGAAAGCGGCAGCAGTCACTCCCTTTCGGCAGCTGGCTGCTGCAGCACGTGTTTCTTGGCCACTTCTTGCTACCGCAGCTCCTCTTTATGCATCCGACAAGGCTTTCTGCTTCTTGACCTGTGCTTTTTCGCATGAAACGTTCTGGGTGCGTTGCAAACAGTTATGCTGGATGCAGGACAATTCGGGCGACGATGCCAGTAATGCCTCAAGGAAACACAGTTTGCATAAACCAACGCGGACGCTGGCTTATGTAACTGGGCATCGAGTCTCGCCGTCAAATCCGTGCCAAAACATCCCTTTGCTTTTCTATCATTCTTTACTTGGTGGGGAAGCTTCAATGTAAATATCTCTCCAAAGAGAGAAAAGACTTGAAACAATAATCTACCAGAAAATGATACTCTTAAGATTTTAAACGATACCTTCGGTGGGTCAAGGGTGATCAGTAAAACAAATCAAGCTGTGCTTGGCAAATAAAACTTGAAAAAAACTTTAAAAGATGTCAAGATGTAGCCTGTAAAATCTTCTGGACTGAAATAAGAGATGAATTTGCAAAGGTGTTGAGGCCAGATGTCACAGCTCATGCTTCCACAGATGCCTCACAAACACTTAAAGCAGAGGAATGTTTGAATGCTTTAGGCACAGCACCAAGACACTATGGATTTAGGAATGTTAGGGCGCTACTGCTCTGAACTGATACACTTCCAGGGGAAGTCTCTTCCCACCTTTATTCAGTGCCTGGAACACCAGAGGCTCTGGTCTGTGTGCTGTTGACTTGATGCAGAGAAACACTTCAGTGGAATGTAAAGGAATGGCACAGCTGGCTCTGAACTCATTTAACATCCCCTCGTTTACATTGCAATACATACGGGACAAACAGTGCAGTGATATTATTTATTCTTCTATTTTTTTTTTTTCCCCTCAGAAATAAAGAACCACCACAATCTAAGGAGGCTGGAAAAGGGCCTAGATCATCATTTCTCAGCGGGACACATGGCAGAAATCAGAGCCTCCGGACACAGTTTCTCCAATTCGGCTTCTGAAGACTGGGTAAGCAGTTTTCAGTGTATAGAAAAGGAGGCTCAAGTTATGCTCCTGTTCCTGTGCCTAGAAATAATATAATGAAGGAGAAAAGCCAAGCATCAGTCATGCAGCAAACTGCAAAATGGCAGCGTTTCCCAGAAATTGAAGCAAATGCAAAAGAATTTGCTTTTGGGGTTAAGCGTGTGTCGCTTAAATATAAATTCTGCAATGCGTAGCATTTGTTACAGCCTTCTTCACACAAAACCAGCTCTTTTCCAGCACACGCTCACACTGGGGCTGAAGTATTTAACAGCTTATAACAAGGAGAATTTACCTGTTGGTATGTAGCCTAGCAAAGTGTTAAGATTTACTTTATGGAATAAGCAATAGAGGACATGAAATATTGATGTTAAGGTCAAACACAGCATGTCGGGAGTCAGCACACAGGTACCCTTTTAAGGCAGTATGGCATTGGACCAAAATAAAATTACATTTTTCCTCCATGAGAGGAGCAAGACTGAGAAAGAGAGAATTTTTCTTTGCCTTTCTCCATGACTGAAGCCCACATACCCACAGTCTCCCTTTGCTGTAGGGGAAAAAAGCAACCATTTTGTTTCTGACTGCATCAGAACATACACAGCCTCATATACGGCTTGTCCAATTACTCTAACAGATCAGGGTACACATCTATACGGTTGTAACCCATCCAAACCCAGCCTACGCAGGATCAGGTTAATAGCTGAAAACAAAAACTGCCAGAAACAAACCTTTCTGAGCGGGTATTAGCTGCCAAAACTCTCACCACAGTGAACCACAGCTCACGTGTGAGGAGGTAGTTGTAAGAAACAGTACTGTCGTAATGTACAGCAGTGAGAAACACTACCGGTAAAAAGACGAAAAAAAATAGCACTAGTGCAAGGGACAGTATCAGAGGGTTGCTTACATGCTCCAACTAGGTTCCTGGATTAGTGAGACTAGGACAGGCTCAGCAAAGCACCTGGGCATGCACAGCAACCCGTTCCCCACAGACTAACAGGTTCCCCAAGTCAGCTTGGTCCCCCCGGGCGATGGTGCTAGTGGCGAAGCCGATGATAAATGCTTTTCCCCTTTGCCCGAAGGTGCCATACAGAGCTCTGGGTGACAGCGCACCCTTCTCCGAGTTTGTTGTCAAAGCTGGGAGGGGCGAGCGTGTGCCGCGAGCCCAGGAACACCCCGAGAGGGCTGAAGTCTGAACAAGCCAGAAAGCACTTGCCTCCCTCGCCCAGACTAGGCGCCCGAGAAACACTTGCAGGATCAGCACCCAAAAGCAACGCCTGACGTCACTCGGGTGTGAGGGCGTTCCTGCCCTCGGTTCTCCCTGCTATTCTGCCTCCCAGTGTATTTGGCCAAACTAGGTTCAAACTCCGCAACCATAAAAACATCCACTCTAGTCATAGGGATACTGAAGCTTAAATGGTCTTTCATTTCCAGCTTGTTTTTTTGGATTCTCTCCCATTCTTAGACCCATGCGCAAAAAGAGCTCTTGTGCTTCAAATTTTGAGTGCGTGGTCCTTGGCCGCACAAATGTCATATTGATGTTTTTGTACTCAAGAAGCTGCTTCTGGGATGCTACCTGATTACCAAGAAACTCTAAGTTTAACTCGAAGAAGATTTCTATGTGAAAGACATGGAAAATTCCCGTAAAAGAAACAAAGTCAGTTTTTTTCCTCTTAACTTACTCCTAGCTGAAGCACCTCTTGGGCAGCCAGTTTAACTAGCAGAAGCTATGTCAAAAAAAAAAAAAAAAAAGAAATCCTAGAAATTACAGTGGGTTTGGAAACCTGCTTGCTGAACGAAGCAGGTAACAGCTAGTGTCCGCTCATAGCATAGAAGGTGATATACTTTGGTGACAGATGAAAACATGCCCCGTTGTCATGCTCCTCTTCAGCACTAACATCACGGTGAAGCACTAAAAGCACGTTGAAGCTATCTCAGGCAGGAAACCCAAGGAGAGGGCAGCACACCACTTAGACAACTTCATCGCACTGGGATGCGAACACAAGGTACCTTCGGTTCTTAAACACTCGTCCAACACTGTGTGTGGAACGAGAGCCTGGTGCTGTTTCTGGTTCGTGACCCTTAGCACAGTGTGTGTTCAGCGACGTGGGTAACGCTACCCTGGGTCAACACTTTCAGGTGTGGTTGATCCAGTCATAATCTACCTCCACATGAAAGGCTGGTCTCTGCTCGTAGGTTCATCAGGCAGATCCAGAGATCCCTCTTTATTAGTCTACACTTTGTTCTAGTAGCCTCTGGGTTTGCTATAGTCAGTTTTCCCTCTGCAGAGAAAAATTTAAAATAAGGTATTTCTTTAGAGAAGTATTTTCTCCAAAAGCAGGGGAAAGAAGGTAAGCATTCAGAAATATAATCTGGGAGGTAGCATGAGCGCTTCTGACAGTGTTAAGACAAAGACACTCTGTAAAATACAAAGCCCTTAACTTAGTATCGGTACTCCTGCCACAAACCCGTAAGATTTACCTTTAATCAATATTTACAATATGGGTAAGGATATGTTTATTCTGTTATGTACCTGAACAGATACAAAGGACAGACTAGCTTTGGAAACATCTCACAAGTATATTTATTAGCCAGGAGCAATTTGTCTCAAATGCGTGACCCATTTCATACTTTAAATGGCATTTCATTACAGTGCAGCTGCACAAGCCTCCATTCTCCCCTAACAGATGCTTGAAATGCAGAAGGCAGACTTCAGCACACTAGTTATTTACATGCATAAGTTTCTGGATTTGTTTAGGTTTGAGGACAGTAGTTCAAGAAAAGTCTGTTTGCCTTAATCATTTGAAAAGCTTCTTTCTTTTCTTTCTCCACTGTTTATTGTCCACATCTTCAGTATCGTCAGGAGGATCTGGTATTACAAAGCCATCAGTCATTTTATAGTAGACTACTGTGGAATCTGACTCAACTATGGCCAAAGTAACTGACAGCGGGGTGTCGGGATCGTCTTGTGGGAGAGATGCTTTCTTCAGGATTTCTCTTATCCTAGAAGAGGAAACAATCGGTTAGAAAGGAGTCCACAACCACCTAACAATGGCACAAAGGTAAAAGTGCACCATTGCTATTTTTATTCAGCCTGGTTTTATTCTGCAAATTTGTCTTTACTAAAGAAAGCATAATATCTGTTCTAATAAAAATCCAAAGCCATATAATCAAGCAACGAAATCAAATAACAAAGAATCTTATAAAAATATACTCTGTTACAAACACCTCTGCTGGAAATGGCTCTACACATGCTTCTAAGCTTTGCTTCGGTGTACTACTGCGCACATGCCTCGACCATCCTTCAACTACGACAGTCATAGCATGGCAATCTCTAATGGCCTTGTTTTCATTAGATTAAAAAAAAAAAAAATTATCTAATTTAGTAACACATGGTGTTCAATTAGAGAACAAAATAATTAAGAGTTGTTCCATTTGTAGAGGTAAGTCTTCCAGTCTCTGTGCTACAGTTCTCTGCCAGCCTGTGGAAGACCCAGGAAACAAAGCCAGGTTTCTCTACCTCCCTGTCTAGACTAGAAGCCACAAGGTTAATGTTCTTCTTCAAGACAGTCAGCATAAATAATCTCTTCCTTAAAAATTCAAGACAAAGTTACGCAATTTTTCCTGTTCATCTTATTTTAAGAATAACATGCCAGTTGCTTTTCAGTTCAGAGCTGAGGATTCCTGGAGTCCTTGTATTACTGTTCCGACTGGGGAGCAAGTCCTGAAGGAGTGCAGTGCCCAGGGGCAGAACAGCAACGCTCCCCACAGCAAGCATTTCCAGAGGGAGCCTTCTCCATCACCTAAAGCTTGGGTGCAATAGGGCTCATCTGGGATTGCCAGGACAGGTTACGCTCTGAGGAGAGGTCAGCTATGCAGTGGGAAAAATCACCCCTCTCTTCATGTGCCCCTGAGATCTCATTCACCAGAAAACACACATTTCTGAAGCTGTAGTTGAAAATAAGGCTCCTTCTAAATGCATCAGCTTTCAAACTTTAATCATCATCTTCCTTCCAAACCTCTTTGATCCCTTAATAAAATCCAAATGGAAGGCGGCAGAGAATAAGCAGCAGCCTGGAAAGCCTATGCTATTAAACCCGTGACCCTTTTAAGTATCCGTCTGTCTTCTGAACTGTTCATAATTCAACTTGGCTAAATTCAGTTGTGCCTTTTCTTTTGCTTTCACTACTGGCCCATACGTAACACAAGGCAAGGCAATACAATATAGTTAGTTAGTCTTTTCATGCAACAGAGATACTAAGGCTGTGAAAAGCCATATTCTGGTCCTCCTACCATCAGCACGTTTCATAACAAGAGAACAAATAAGCAAAGAGATACTGTATTGGCCACTGGCAGAAGAGAGACACCCGCAAAAGACTCATACTTCAAGCAACGCGACGTTAACTTCTCTGCTCCCTGCCACCTTGCCACTGCTTTGTGGGCACGTTTACTTGGCAGGTGCCTCAGGCTCAGGGCCTTGCGGCGGGAACGCTAACTGCACCGGGGGTATTAAGAGAGCATAAACGCAAGCCTGCCTTCCAAAGCTGTAGGCAATTAATGGTGGAGGTGCTCTGCAACAAGAAATGCATCCCACCATAAGCAATGCCTCAAATAAGGCAAGGCCTGCCAGTGAAAGCACTACCTAGTGAGGGGGGTCATGTGCCTGCTGGAGTTGCACCAGTAAGTACCAGGTGAATCGCAGGTGCACCGGGACAGCAGTAAGCAAGGACAAACGAACCAAATGTCTAAGGCACAGCGGTGAAGCGCTGTACCTCTGTGCTGACGCCGGGCACCTTCTGCTCTTGTCACTTCCAGACCCTCTTTAGGGGTACCTCCAGCACCACGATGGCTTGCCATAGCTGTGGCGGGTGACGAGGGCCTGGGAAAGGATTCCAGATGTCCTTCCAGACATGCTACACATGCAGAGAGCAAGAATCCGTTTGTCACACCTCGGTAGCTCCTGTCTGGAGGAAGCTCTGAATAAGTTGTCAATGGTGAGGCCAGGCTACTGGCAGAGACCCAGTGAGGAAAGAACTATCCATGGCTTTTATGCAGCAGTGGATACTAGTCTCTCTCTTTCTCCTGGGAATGTTAACTACAAATAACAATAAAAAGCCAAATAAAAGGGCACAGCTACCCAGGAGAGAAATTTTGGGACCCAAAGAAACCAAACTTGTGTTGAGTGTGGACAGCCCCATACCTGGAAGCAGACCCAGGCAGTGGCTTGTATTCACCTGTCAGGCAGGGCAGAAGGTCCTTCGTATTTTCTTTAGTAACTGTCACCATTTCTCTTCCTAGTCTATTAGGGGTATGGATGTAACAGTGAGGCCTTAGATCTAGATTTCCCATCACTCGTGATTTCTTCTTATACTGTCAAGCACAGACATCTGAACATTTATTTCCCCCCCATTTAGCACTTAAACTTAGAAGATGCACCATGATCCCAAAAGTGGCCAGGTCCTGACAACAGATTAATGACATTTTTTCACATCCCTGACTTACTTTTCAGGAGACTGAGTTTCAGGCTTTATGTAAAGAGCACAAAGACACGCCATTGCCTCAGGATGATCTGCTAACACTGCTGTCCACAGAGCCCAATGCTTTCCACTGCACATGAGGAATCAGCCTCTATCGCCGTAAAGAATTACAACTGCAAATGCAAGATTCTCCTCTTCCCCCTTTTCTCTTACACAGGCAGCCCCGAAACAAGAGCTCTCATTCATGCATACCACAACTAGCCATAATGCAATGCAGCACATCTGCAGATTAGCGAGAGCGTATCTTTTAAAAGAATAAGCTTCGGAATTCAGGAAGTCTGTATCAGACGCCTGCATTTCCTCTCCTCCCCTGAAGGCATCACTGTTAGCTTCTGCACCCAGCATGTTCACAAAGTTTCTCTGCAGCAGCGGACATTTCAAAGAAGGAGTCAGAGAACATCTGGGTTTGTGCTGATTTCACTGCACTTGCTACTTGCCACGAACAGAAAGATGAAATATTGCAGGAAAGGTATACTTTTTTTAATCCTTTTGATGTATCTAACACCGTCTATGTGGGGAGAAAAAAAAAAGGCAAGAAGTGTCCCTGGCCTTCTGAAATTCAAAGGAATGCATGTTTGACCTCCCAAACAAGGCAAGAAGCCTTTATTCCAAGAGGTACAGCCCTCTAGGCTGCCCATCTCACACAACAGCTGCATTCAATGACTAAAATGAAGCCCTAAACAAGAAGCCCATATGTAACACCTACCCCCAACAGAGCTAGCTGACTTCATTTGCTAAGTTAATGGTTACAGGTAAGCTCCTTAATGATCAGTCTGCCACACCATACAAGTGATGTCAGTTATAAAAGATGGCTTTTGCTTAAGTAAAAGTGGACTTAATGTTTCTGCAAGTGTCAAATATTAGAAGCCTCTGGAACAGGGGAATTCAATACATCCAGTACTTTGGCATACTCCACCAACAGTCTTGATAACCTCCACTCACCAGCATCCTGACCAGCCTTCTCCTCATGAGTCACAACTGTGTTAGGACACATTCTGCAAACACTGTTCCCATTGATACCAAGGGGTCCACAACGGTTTTGGTTCCCCAGCCTTTATAGGCCATGGTCCAACAGCGTGAACCCCACAGAAGCTGTGGTGTCAAGCATTTGGTGTGGACTGGCTCTACCTGGTTCCTCCTTTTCAACAGGCATTCAGATATGCCCACTCCACTGGCTAGACATCAAGTTTTAAGCAGAATGTAGAGACTCAACACGAGAAAAGGTGCAGCTGAGAAACAGTTGATACTGTTCTGCGGTGTCTGAATAAAAGCTTAGCATGTTTTCAATGCAGTCTCAAGTAAAGCCTATGTTGGAAGAAAACTTTGTCATCTCATGAAGGACACTGTACAACACAATAGGCAATCACCTTAGTACACGTTCACCCACAAGCTCTGCCTTGTTCATGGCCTCAGACTCGCTCATCCACAGGCTCAGCCTGGCTAGGAAGATGGGGGACAGTCAACCCTATACATGCCGCCTTCTCGGGATTTATGCCAATGACTACCTGGTGAAGAATAGAAGGCATCTAGAGCCCCGAGAGAGCACACAGAACAATCAAGCGTGTGTGCTGCTGCATGCACAGTGAGCAGTCTATGAGTTAAAATATCCTGCAACCACTCTTTTCCCTTCTCGCCCCCTCCCCATGAAGAAAAGCCATTCAATGTTAAAACAGGCAATGCAGAAGCTTTAGGTTTCCCACAAAAAAAAGCACGCCTCGAACAAAGGCACTGTGAAAGGAAAATAACATACATAAGCTAGGGGAATACAGACGCCACAAGAAACACTGGAAAGTTTCCATAAACAGAATAAGACCAAATATTTTTTTTAATAAGAATTCTCATCTGTTGCAGATCATACAGTCCCAAGTTTTCAGAATAGCTTGAAACCCCTTCTCTAAAAACTGATGGCGTCTGCATGTTTGCTGCAAGCTAGGATCTGCTCCCACCAAGGCAAGTGCCAGTAGGATGAAGCCCTCAGTTTCCACCTCGGAAGCAAACTCACATTCACCTCACATTGCAGGAGATGAAAAGGATTTCATCTCAACCACTGAAGGAGACGCTGTTATACAAAGTAAAGAGCTGGCATTTCTAAAGCCCTTTGCATCAGAAAAAGGACTTTAAAAATGCTTTCTACAAACTACAGTCAGAAGGGACTGCTTTTTTCTACCAAAAAATTAGTCATAAGAACAGGTTTAACTTACCTAACGTCATGCAAGGACCACTGCAGCTAAGGTAACAGCATGACGAATGTCATCCTGCATCTGCCTTTACTGCTCCATTCAAACTAAATGGCGACAGTGAACTTACGTGGTCAGCTATTACTGTTGCAATTAATAGCTTAAAAACAAAACAAAACCCAACAACAAAACAAAACACAGAAATCCATACAAATCCATCCAAAGAGGGGAATTTTCCATCTTTCCCCCATTTTAATTTTTTATTAACAAAAGACTTTCGCCCTAGGTG